TGGTTCCTGTCCTGGGAATGACCCAGTTCTGGTCCTGTGCCAGCCACAGCTGCCCCTTCCTTCCCACCCTCCCACTCCTCCTCACATCCCTGCTTCTCACCCCCAGCCCAGGTGAAGCACAGCTGCCAAAACCGTGGATTTTTAGAGTTTTAAGTTAATAAAAAGTATTGCAAACAAGTTTTGGGACTCTCAAACAAAATCAGGTGGTGAAAGAAAAAACAAAAACCAAAAAACCAACAACAAAAAACAAAACAAAACAAAACAAAAACAACAACAACAATAACAAAAAAACCAACCAATAAAAAAAACCCAAACAAACAAAAAAACCCAAACAAACAAACAAAAAAACCCGAACACCCACAACACCTGGACTCAGGGTACTGTTGCTATTTTCTGAGATATTCCTGCCCCAATGTTCCAAACAAATGGGGAAGAACATGATGGCATGATGCAACCCCTGGGCTGGGAGGGATATGAAGTATAGAACAAAACAATATTTTTCTGCAGGAAAAAAAAAATAAAAATTGAAGTGCAAAGAGTGGTGTTGTTTTGTTTTGTTTTTTTTTTACAGAAATGCCCATTTCTACATGCAGGCCATGGGGTGGGGCAGCTCTTTTGGGTGGGTTTAACCACATCATGTGGGCTTCAAGCACGGTAAAAACAAGCCCCAAGTCTTGTTAAATGAGGCTGAGAAATGTGCAGAGCTCAGGCCTTTCAGCAGAGTGAGGCTGCTGGTGTTTCCCTGGGGGTGACTGAGGGACTCCTCTGTGCCCCCAGCTGATGAACACATGCTGCAGTGGAAAAGTGACAACATTTCCTTGTGAGACTGAAGAACAGAGTGAAATCTTTGAGCATTTTAAGGAATGCTCTGCGCCCCCAAAACAGGTTTAATAATGACAACTTTCCCCCCAAAAAAAATATCAAATATTTTCAAAATTCCACATAATTAACCAGAGCTCCTGCACCAATGGAAGTTGTTACTTCATTCTCATTTAAAATAATATCTTTTAAATGCATGTTTCATAGAAATTGCCTCTTAGAGGAAAAGAAATCCCATATTTTATCCTTAAACTTCTGTGAGATCTGCTCCCACACACCTGCTGGTGGCAGCAGCACCTTTATTCTCACTCCAGTGAAGCACATGATTGTTGGACTTTCTCGTCTCCATTATGCTATTGAGAAAAATGTAAATCTTATTATTCCAGGATATGAATTATAATAAAACCTTCTTGGGATGCCCTTGATGCCTTCCTGAAAGGTGAATGCCTGTTAGCACAGGCCTGCATTGCCACTGAGGGTATTCACTTCCTGCAGGTGAAGAATGCATTCAAAAAGTCCTGAAGCCTAAAAACATACGTCAAAAAAAAGAGAAGAATTTCTTTCACTGAAATACAGTGAAACACACTCAGAATAGCACAGAATATTTCAATGAAATGCACCCAGAACAGCACAGAAGCCACATCAGCATCAAGGGTGATGCTCAACACACTTGAGCATCAACCAGATCTTTCAGATTTCTGTTAAATACATTTAAAAATGGATTTTTTAGCAATATCAGCTCCCATTTTCGTCGCCTGGATTTTTCTGCTGTCTTTTAATGAGTCCTCAGTTTGGCTGTTCCAGGTATCAGGAGGGTGAATTTGTGCTCACCTGCAGAACCTTCCCCATGGACAGACAGAGCAGAATTAATACCAGAACCGAGTATTGGAGATGGGGAGAGGGGAAGGAGTAACACAAAAATCAAGGTATTTTCCTTGGCAAACCAAGCCCATTTGCTAAATTCCTATAAAATGAATACATCTAGATCCCAGACTTTAAGCACAAGTGTAGTTTTCCCTAAAAAAAACCAACAAAAAATGGTATTATTTGGTCTGTGTGTGCCTGGATATGTATAAGATTACCAATATTCTGGTGATGTTTAATGAAAATTGGTAGGGACTCTGTGTGCTGGGAGGTTTTGTGCTGGTAGCAGGGTGAATAAAGCCTGTGAGAGATAATATAATAATAAATATAAATATAAATATAAATATAAATATAAATATAAATATAAATATAAATATAAATATAAATATAATAATAATAATAATAATAATAATAATAATAGGGTGATAGTTTGGTCCAGGAGAGCATCACATGGAATCAATGAGGAATTTGAATTCAGGCTGTTTGCAGGTCAGCTTCGTCCTGCTTTGGTGTCACATCTACAGGGCTGATGGTCCATGGTAGCCAAAAATCTCAAGTGGAAGCCAAAGGCAGCTTAACCTTGGTGTGAAACCAAAAAAATCCTCACAAGTCACAGCCTAGAAGGGGCTGTGAGTCACAATTAAATCAGATTCCCAGCAAATAAACAGTGTCAAGTGAAAAAAAAAAAAAAAATTAAAAAAAAAAATCCCAAATCAAACAAAAGAAACTTGTCGATTGCAACCAAGGCTTTTGAAGATTACATCAAGTCAAACTTTTATTAGCAAAGTTGTATTCCATGTAAAATGAAAATATCTTTTCAAACCATACGTGCACATCTGCATGGTACAAACAGCAACTACAGTACAACACGTTTCTCTAAACTTTAATCAATGCACACTAACATTTAGCTCCCAAAAAAGTAACGTTGTGATGGTGACACCACATTTGCTTTGATCTTTTTCTCATGAAATTACAAAGTCTCTTGTTTAAAGTCAGAAAACCATAATAATAATAATAAAAAAAAAAAATAAAAATGAACAGACAGAATGCTTTGGCTCAAACCCCCCGAGGGGCTCCTGCCTGAAAACAGAACAAATCAGTGCAGATCACTTGAGATTTGACATGAGAGATCCAGAGCTGCAATGTAAACATGTCCTGCTACCCCAGCGTGGTTTGTACCTTTATTTTTTGTCACACACACTGACAGAGATGCAGCTGAGGGTGTGATCCATTGGCAAACAAAGGGAATTCTCCATGAAGAATTTCCTTTCTTTCTATCTGTTCTTACAGGTAAGCAAAATAACCTAAATACACTTCTCACCTGCAAAACAACGGCTGTGAAAAATGACGCTGAGGTTTCCTCTCAAAAGCTCAAGGAGCAGCGAATTTTATTCTAACTTTTCTTTACAAAATGTGGAATCGCTGTTTAAAAACCCCACCCTTGTTAATTTTTTTTTAAATATAGAAAGATTGTGCTACTATTTGTTTTCATGTCAAAAACACCATTGTCCTGAAAGCTTTGATGAAAAGCTCTCGTGCACTGGATTGGAGCCATTCAGTCAATGGAAGCAGTTACCAGGAAAAGAGCTGCCCACTGCAATTTGTGTGACATGGCACAGCACAACAAATACCAATCACTACTTGATTTGCTAATTAGATCCATTTAAGATGTGAGTTACAACGAAGGTTTTAAATTTTTTTTTAAATACATGAACACATTCTTTTATCCAGAGGGGGAAAGTAATTTTCTGATTTGATTCCTAATTCTGTTCTTCCTAAAGATCCAGCCCCAGCAGGGCTCTGATGCCCAGTGCTGTATTTTTATCCTGCTGGAGTGCAGAGCCACGAGGGTTTCTGGAGGTTGGATCCCCTAATTTTGCCAGAGGGGGAAGCTGGGGCTGTTCCTGCAAGTTCTTGATAATTTCATTACATTTTTATATATGTATATATATATATATATATATATTATATAAATTAGAGAAAAATTAATCCACACCAAATCATTATTATGCTGCTTTGGGAATCCAAACAGCTCCCTTGGGAGAAAGGACAGAGGGTTGTTTTTATTTTTATTTTTTTCCATGCTCTAGAAGAGCTGATTTTATTTGTTTAATCTTATGCACAACTTTTTCAACAAGACCTGTCCCTCTCTTCTTTCCAGAGGCTGCTTAAATCCCCAAAGCTGGATCTGTGGGGCCAGGGAAATGCCTCCTCCCTGATGGTTGGGATTACATCCTGGTTTAACTTGGATGTCAAATCTGAAAATGCCATTTCCCCTCTCACACCTGTGCTGAGACAAAACGTGTCAGAACCAAACGGAGCCCAAGCACAGCTATGGCATGGGATAAATAATTCATAATTCATAAATTCCCTGTTCTGCTCCCATGGCTGCACTCCCTCCTCCCAGCAGGCAGGCTGGAATTCCCTGCTAGGTGTTAATTAATGAAATCACCACAGATTTCCAGCAGCTAATTTTAATAAATGCTCCTGCCAGAGAAAGATTTAAAAAAAAAAAAAAATCCAAAAAAGTCCCAAACAAGCCGACACAAAGATTTACTACTCGATGCACTATTTCAGAATAAGGTGTGAATTTTGGGGCTGTCCTGTTCAGGGACAGAAGTTGGACTTTGATGACCTTGTGGATCTCTTCCAGCTCAGGAAGTTCTATAAACTGCAGTGCAGTTGGTGACAATTTTATTGGGCTATGGTCACATTTCCTCTCACCTGTCACAGACTAAGACAAAAAAGACAAAAAAGGAGCCCAGCTCCCTGCAATGACAAAAAAACTCCTCAGAAAAATCTCAGCTTGCTCTGGTAATTTAAATCTGAATAAAAACCTCTTTAAAAAAAATCACTATCCTGTACTTTCCAGGGTTACTTTACAGAAAAAAAATCTCAATACAGGAGAAAAAGGAAAATAAATGAGTGGGGAAGAAAAAACAGCTCAGGTGAGTGAGATTTCCTGGGAGTTTGAGCCACTTGTTTAATATTCAGTGGGCACATTCCTCAAAACCCGTGTTCAAAATCCAGGTTCCATTGCACATCCTTTTCCTCCCTGTTTGATTTTTAGGTCCTGAGGCATCGTGGAACACCAATATTAAGATTTAAGGCTGTGAATTAAAATCTGGGTGGAAAAAGCAGTGCCACCAGCACGGCTGAGCAGCACATCACAAACATCTCTCAGCAGCACGAGAGCAAGAGCTGCACGGGGGTTTTAAATCCATTATTGCATCATTTGACACTCACTAATATGGTCTGAAACTCGACAGAGAAATTTAACATTGTTTAAGATGCATTTTCTGGGATGAGGGGTCTGGTTTATCTGCAGTGACCCACAGGAAAATGCGATGGGTGTGTGCAGCCCCCCCAGCCCAAAGGGAGGATTTGGGGGAGCCCACTCCAATTTTATTCCTGAATTTTCAAAGACATTTGATCACTGCAGATGATTGCCAAAGGAAATACATTAAAACCAGCCCAGAGCAAGCAGCAGGTTGTCACAAGCCTAATCAGTTCTTAGATTGTATCTGGCTTGGGCTGCAGCAGACACGAGTCAGCAGATAAAGATGCTGCTGGGAAATGTCTCTGTTGAGGAGATGCCAATTTTCACATTTCTCTAATTGTGCACTCCCTTCTTTGGAAAATTACTTTTTTTCCCCCCACAAGATTAAAAGACTTTTGGAGTTTTTCAGTGTTTGGAATGAGCGAAATGCAGAAAACAGAACTTTATAAATAATCAAAAGGGAATAATGTGGGTCACTGATATGGGATGGGATAATTTTTGATTAGGGGCAGATTTCCACTCACCATTTTATACTCACAGGCACAGCCTGAATGGGGCTTTTGGGGTGGCTGTTTGGGGTTTGCTTTTCCCAAAGAGAGGTTACATAAAAAGCCCTTAAAAGCTCCAATTAAAAACCCACAAAGAGGCACAGAGAAGCAGAAGCTTGAGCACCAAAGGCTTCCAGAAACTGCCAAGCTCTGAGGAGGATCCTGGGGGGAGCTGTGGGGGATCCACAGCCTTTCCACTGGGAAAAATCTGCATTTCCCTGGGCTTAACTGTAGCCCTTGCTGGAAACTCAGAAGCACGTGAGCAATTCTTGCTTCCTCTCTTTCTTCCATTGAAATCGTGGAGGAGCCATTTGGGGATATTTGCCTAATTGCTATCAGGATACCAAACAGCTTTTAGGATCTATTCCTCCCACAGGAACTACTGAAAAACTTTTATAATGGGAGTGACAGAAGAAATGAAGCCACCTTGATGCCCTACTGAAACAAGCAGATTCAAAAATACAAATGCTATTAAAAAGAGATTCAGGAGATTCCAATACAAAAAGACCAAAAAAATGTGCTGTACAGCTCGGCTGAGTTAGTGTTGGAGAGGCAAAGAACCCCGATTTAAACCAGCATTCAGTCAACAAAATAGGAAAACAAACTCTACCATAGTATTTTCTCTTTTACTTTTGTTTTTGTTTATTTAACAGGCTGAAAAGAAATGAACTCTTGAAAGTCAGGTAGGTCTAGTTTAGGTGATGCTTGAATGGTGTGAGGTTTGGATGATTCCTATACACACAACTCCTTCTGAAAACTAATTTTGCTGGTCCAAATCCATACTGAGAAGCAATTCTACTCATTCCTACACAGCTATACAGACCCATGCTAGCAACATGTCTCAGTTCAAAATAAAACCAGGCTGCTCTGGACTTGTGTCAATATTAATATCATATGTACAACGTCTCCATGAAATGTTGGCTAGCTCACAAATATACAGATATGAGACAGACACCAAGGAGTTTGCTTAGAAATGCAGCTTGCAGCTGGGAAAAATGAAAAATATCTCGAGTGATGGTGGATGGAAACCCTGTTTTGCCTTGCCACAGGAAGAGCTGCAGCTTAACTTATTTAAGGAAATAGTGCCAGCTACTGGGCAGCAGCTTCACCCACACTCTCCTGTGGGTAAAGCTGCATTTCTAAGTATTGGAAACTGAAGTCAGCTGTAACCACTAAAACAGTTTTTTGAATATCATACACAAAGGGGTTTATATCTTTAGGAAAAATTATACAATATATAGAATATATTTCTCTGGTATTTTAAAATTCTAATTTTCCTCGTTGTGTCACTTTGAAGAGTAAATGTTTTCTTGTTGGTGCCATAACCTCGAGGTAATAACCAAGGCCATGAGGGAATTTTATACACAGACCTGTGACAGCAGCCATACAGGGCAAAAATACTACACAGAGAAACATATTCCAAGCCTAAGAAAACACCTGGAGCAGCAGGTAAGGACACTGAGAAACTCTGGTTTGCTCAGACTAACACATCGTGTAGAATAAAGAATTATTCTGTTTTATTGAGAAGAAAACACATAGAAATTCGGATGGAAAAAAATCACCTTTTAGTGGCAGTGACTCGTTTTTGTATTACCTGGATGTCAGGAATTTCCTGACTGGTTTCAACCAGCACCCTGCTCCCGTGGGAACTGTGGAGAGCTACCCAGGATAAATAACACAATTCAATCATTTTAGGCGTGGAGAGGAAAAGTCGCCGTAGAACTCCCAGTGCTTTCCACGGATCCTTTCTCCTTAGATCCAGAATAAGCTCCAATAAATGAACCATCTTCATTGAACATGCCATGCTCCCCTTCTCCATAATCTACCAGACTATCAGCACTTCCCGTGGCTTTAATGTCCCCGTTAAGTGACTGCAGGCTGCCTTTCAGCGGCTTTTCATCGCTGTCACTACAAAATAAAGAGATGCCTTTCCAAAAATCCGCCTCTCACCGGCCAAGGAGGGAAAGTGCTCTCGGCTTGGGGAGGGAGGAGGGAGGGACACGTGGGGGGTGCAGTGAGGATGATCTGAGTCCTGCCCCGGTCTCCTCACACCTGAGCTCCCCCACACTGGATTTTGTCGTTATTCCCACAAATTTAATGGGAATTATCAACACCCATCTGCTTGGGTTGTTTTCCCTTTTGGCCTTGGGCAGACAGAATGGAGAGAAAGGGAAGGGGAAGGGGAAGGGAATGTTGGAGAGGATTGGAGGGGTCTGTCCCAGCCACCAGGGCTGATACCCAGTCCTTGGAACCCCAGAGAGACACTTTTCATTTTACAGAACACTCAGGGCCTATTTACTTCATTTTCCTTTGGAGGTGGGTGAATGAAGTGACATCACATCAGTGAGTCACATCTCACTGCTGTAGGAGCATCTCTTTGAGTTTAAATGGCCAATAAAGGTGCTTTTCCCCTTTTTTCCTGCTGTTATTTTATTTTACTGGTGTTTATCTCACTGGAGTTTGCCTCTACTAATGGGGAGGAACCAGGAAAAACAAAAGCAGATTCCATGTCTGCATCTGCAATCTCTTTTCAGCAAAAATTCCATGAAAAAAGACAACCCACCACCAAAATTCTGGGAAAAAAAGGGGAATTTCTCTGGCCATCCCTCCTAATGGCACCATAGCAGAGGAAACAAGAACAGCCTGAACAGGACATCTGGGGGAACTGGGAAAAAATTAAAAGATTCTATAAAAAAAAACTGAATTAGGCCTCTGCATTAGGGACATAATTATTCAAGTACAGCCCTTGCTGCTAATGCCAACTCAGTGTCAGATCTTTGGCAATTTTATCTAAGGGAGGACAGAGAAATGAACCTGAACTTCATTTCTTCAGGATGGACTCAATATGTGCATAAACAAAACAGAAAAAATCACTGCTTTTCTGCACAGGGCATTTCTCCTCAGAATAAAAAAGACAAGCTTGGATTTCAGGGGGAAAGGAGGGGGTCAAAGTTATTAACCTCAGGGCTTTCTTACCTTTCTAAATATTTGTCCCATTAGAAAGCATTAAAAATTAAATAAAGATGAAATTATGCAGAAAAAAAAAAAAAAAGCCCTACTCCAGTACAAATAATGTAGTATATATAAGTGGCATTTCAACAGCAATTTTATGCCCTTAAGGGCAGCAACACCAGTTTTCCAGCATGGTTCTTATAATTATGGATTTTCCTACATATCACAATTACATATTGCTAGAAGTTTTAGTTATTTTAAAGCAGCCAAAGAGGTTATTTCGATTCTCCTACAGGGATTTCTATAGAGAGATTTTTGTTTTTAAAATATTTTTTACCATATTCCAAACTTTTCTTTGTTTTCTTCCCCAAAATGACCATTCCCTTTATTACACCATTTGGGTCTGAGTTTCAAAAACCCACTGAAGACATAGAATTCAATCCATTGACTTCAGTGGGCTTTTCAGCAGCACCCCAAATTATCATATATATTTACATTATTCATACAATGCTAAAGAAATAAAAAAACCAAACAAACAAAAAAGTGAAAAATAACCACCAATACATCAACATTTCCTTATATCCCAGCTTGGATGGATTGAAATATACTGGAGATACCTTTATATTCCTACTCTTATCCACTCCTATGTGGTTTGCCTTGAAAATGAAAAACAGCATTAATTGCATGCCATAAAAATGTCCCGAATAATGATGGCATTTGGAAACAAACAAAACCCCAAGAAACACAAAGGCTTGTGAAAGCAGGTCCTATTTACCTATATTCCCCAAAGATTTCATCTTTTATTGATTGAGCTTCGGGATCTGGATGCAAATCTTCTTTTTCTTTCACTGTGCAAATAAAATAAAGGACAGATCTCTGTGTTGTGTTCTGCCATGGATTTTTCTTTTCCCAGGGGAAATGGGAAAACCATCTGCAATCACCTGTCCTAGAGCTGGCTGGACACAACCCGTGAGCTTCCAAGAGTTTGGGACCATTCCCTAATTTATTGTAAGTAAGTATTTATAGAATCATGGAATGGTTTGGGTTGGGAGGGACCTTAAATCCCACCCAGTGTCACCCCTGCCATGGCAGGGACACCTCCCACTGTCCCAGGCTGCTCCAAACCCAGTCCAGCCTGGCACTGAATGTTCCCAGGGATGGAGCATCCCCCGTCTCTTTGGCAACCAGATTTCTACTTCGATGAATTTACCTAAATCCTTACTCACTGCCTGGAAAACGACAGAGGTAATTTTAAGCAAAATATTCCACTGTTCATCTGCCTGTGGAAGTTCTGTCCGTGTGTCCAGCAGCATTCCCAGGTGGAAAGTGGGCAGGGAGTTGTGACAGCAAGGACCTTGCTGGATTAAATGCTGGAATATTCCAGGAGTGCTGGCAAAGGGCTTTGCAGGCTCTGTGACCAGCACAGAGCACAGCTCCACTCCCATTCATTAAAATCCCTTCCGTGGATATTTATCAAAAGCTACAAACCCTAATTGGATGTTTGTGCTCGAGGCCTTGCGGCCCCCAGAGAGAAACCTCTGAAGGATGGTAGTTATTAACATGTGAACATAGGGAAAGGACAATATAAATCCATTTACCTGAATATTTGCCTCCTTTATTTCTTCTGACAAAGCAAATGGTTAGCAGCAGCAGGGTGAGCAAGGCGATGGCACACATCAGCCCGATGAACCAGCCCTGGGTGGAAATCCCCTCGTAAATGCCAGCGTAGGCTTGGGGAGAGGGGAGAGGAGGAAAAAGGCAGAAAATTAATCAGAGGGAAAGGGCAGCACCCCACAAGATAACAGGAACACATCACGTTCCTCTCCAGAGCTTAATGGAATCAGTCTATCACTACTGATGGTGTTCAGCTTCAGTGCGAGGCAGGAATGTGTCCAGAGTGGGACATCTGGGATGGAGGGGAGCATGCAGGTGACAAGGGACAACACAGACACTTGGCAAGGTGGCTCTGAGAGAGCAGTTGACTCACAGGATTAGCACCACACAGGAAAGCTGAGCAGAGAGTTGTTAAGCCTCTCATGCAAAAGCAGTTTTTTGCAGAAGAGAGAGAGGTAAAAGTGCCCCCAGGAGATGCAAATCACCAAACTGGCCACGGATGGGTTCGATCACAGCTGCCCTCTCACATTGCACTGGTTTGTAAAGGTCTGGGATTGTTCCAGGCTGTTGTAAGAACCTGGGATGTGTTTGTGCTGCCATGGGATTCAACTGCAAGGGCCAACCTCAAGCCCAGAGCACGGAGCGATGAGTTTGGGACATTGGCACTGCACGGGATGGAACCTCAGCATCGATGCACATGGAAAAACAAACGTTCAGCGCCTCCAAGGGCTTCGTGTCTCACCTCTGCCCCTGGTCTCAATTACATCTTCAAAAATGCTATTGTTATCCACCCAGTTCTTAGTCACTAGGCGGATTGTGTACTCAGTGCCAGGCTCAAGGGCCTCGCTGGGCTGAAACTTTGGGGTGGGCTTTACTGCGTCTGAAATCCTGCTGCTCCCTTTACCTACGGAATGCACACATTCAAGGCAGAGGGGTTAATGGCATTCATGGACAAAAAGCCTAGGAAATGCACAGTTACAAATAACAGACAAGTACAACATGTAATTTTAAACATTTGGTATCAGGCAATCTGATTTTCCAAAGCAAAAAGATACCCCCAAACATTCCCTCTGTTTGATTTTTTAATGTTCTGTCGGATGAAATCAACAGCAGACTGGAGTAATCCTGATGTTTAGGAAGGGGTTTGTTCATCTCCCAGGATGAAAGTTAATATTGATGGGGGATTATGGATCTGCTTTAACTAATGCGTGCTTAAAAAATTACAACTTGCAAACGAGCTTGCTTTGTATGGATAATCTGGGGTTTGATGCTTCTCCCATTGAACTGAACCCAGCAGGGAGGCACAGACAGCTTGTTAGCTGGATATGGATCCTTATACGTCTCCCAGAAAAAAAATTAACAGCAGGACTTGTGCTTGCTTCTCTCCTGACAGTGATTTTCTGTGTCCTTTTAAATTCCACAATGCCTGCACAAAGCACTGGTTTACAAACAACTCACCAATTTGCCTGTAAATGGATTTTTAGGCATTTAAGTGTTGCTGATGAGTTTAATATTTGATCAGGAGAAGGCAAATTCCAGTTTGGTTATGGAACCTTGTTAGTTGCAAAACACCTCCTGTAACACTGTCTGCATTCAGATTGTGGGCATTAAATAAGATTTTTCAGAACAGCTTTTGTGGAAAGCAGGAAAAAGGACATTACAGCAGCTGGCAATCACTGCCTGGACATGAACAGCCTGCTCAGCAAATTCAGAGCTGTGTGTGACATGGAGGGATCTCTTAAAACATGGGAGCATCCCTGTCCTCGATGGCTGGTGAGAAATCTGTGGGGGCAGCACTCAATAAAAATAATTCTTGAATTGCTCTCAATTGCCTGATTTGCCTGTTTTGTCCAAAGCCATCTAAACTAAGGCTTGAGCACAAAGTATAATCTGCAAACTACTCTGTCAATTAGCACTGACAGGGGAACAATGCTCATTAATACTTCAACTAGTAAATAAGCAAAGCAAGAAGCTGCTGGAGATTAAGGCTGAGTTGACAGCTGAAGGGAAAAAAAGAAAAAAAAAAGATTAAGATAAATCCAAGCACAGTCAAAGCAGCAGTTCAGGATAAGTTTTTCAAGGCAACTCTCCATGTATTACAATAAGCAGTTAAATGAGCAGACCACTGGGACCCAGAGAGAAACATCCAGCTGAAACACTGCTGATACTGAAGCACAGCTCATTAGCATAAATTAATCCATCTATCAGTGATTTTTCCTAAATGAAGTATGTGAAACCCAGCTATAGTTTTTAATCAAACCGCAAATTAAGCAACAGGACACCACAGGTACATTTTAATTACGTGCTCTAAAATCAAAACATCAGAAAAAATGGGAATATTATCCATAAAGGAACAGAAATGAACAAGAGCCTTCGACCCAATGTCAGTGCAATACCGTGTAACACTCGTGCATGACATGATAACCACATGATCCAAAGTGTTCACACCACCAGACTTCTAAGGAGGAATTTCTCCTGAATTCCTGGGAAGCAAATCCTAAGCCTTGAGCTCCTGGCAGGTGGTTTGTGGTGCATATTAAACCAACCTTACCAGTCCCTCTCTGCCCCCTATTTATTCCCAGCTTGTGGCAGCCTGTTTCTGAACCATCAGCTCTTTAGAGAAGCAGAAAGAGGGAACTGAGATGGCTGAAAAAAAATCCCTTTTTCTGTCCTTTTCTTGCTCAGCTCTGTCTGATGCTGCAGCTGCCACTGGCCTGGCACATGGTGCAGCTCAGGGCTGGGATGGACATCTTGGGATGAGGATGAGCCCAGCCTAACCTGGCACTGAGGATTTACCAACAGCTCTCCATTTATCATCTCCTATCCCAAAACACTTTTTTTTTTTTCCCCTTTAAAACTCAGTAGTGCAGTGCTGGGTGATGATGAGGTTTCTTTCCATGCCATCTCTTGCTGGTCTGTGTGGCACAGCCAACAACAGAGGAGACAGCTTTGGTAATAGGGGAAGGTTTGGTGGCTGCAATAGAAAAAGTAGTGTGGCCTCCTGAAAAATAAAACCAAAGATACACAGATATGGCAAAGCTGCACATTCTGGAAGGCCAGGAACATCCTGAAAGCTGCAGGAATTAGCTGCAGAAAATTGAAAGCAGTTGGGTCGGGTTTTTAATCTCCAATAAGGGAGAAGGAGCATTAGTAATAAAGGCATATCACCAGCACTTCTCATCTTCCCCCACTATTTATCAGCCACACCATGGGACTTGCATGAACATTAAACACTGAACTGCAATTTTACAATATTCCTACAGGGCTCCAAGATTTATGAGGAGAACAGAACACACATTTTTTACAGAAGCTTATGGTATAAAGGGAAAAACAATAGAAACCACCCCCAAAGATTTTCCAGAGTGTTCTCCAAAAGTTAGCACATCTGTTATAAAATATACTGATATAAAAAAACCTGGCAGTCTGAGAGCTAAATACTAATTGTGGGCAGCATCTTAATTTATAACCATACCTATCTAAATACATCTGCTGCAATAACTGCAAAGTTGAACTTCCATTAATTTTCCCCTGCTGCCTGGCTATTAAAAATGTATAAATATGCAGCACAAGTATCCTTCATTTTCAGGGCTTTTCAGTGCAGAAGGTAATTCATGTTAAATTTGGATTATTTTAGACTACAGAGATTAGCAAACCTGTTGTATGTAAAATTTATTGGGAAAAATTTATAGGTGAGGTGATGATCAAGAAATTTTCACCGATTTCATTAGATTTTCTTGACTGTGAGCAAACAGGGTTTGCTGCTAACAGCACCAGTGGTTACATATAGGAAAGGTATTTTATTATTCCTTTTCCACTGTGCCCATGGCAAAAGAGAGCTAAACCCATGTCTTGTTCAAAATGTTACCCTGGTCCTGAAGGACAGGACCTTCTCCCTAAGATTTCCCAAAAGCCTTTGGGAATTTCGTGCCAATGGCCACTGGAATATGATGAAAACTGGTGACCTTTTATTTCCTGGCTTCTCTGGAGAATAAACCTACAACTGTTTGGCTTCATGTGGATGAATTTCTCATTAATGCCTGGATTTCTGGACACACAATGATAATTCTCAACATGTAATATGTGTTTGGTAATCCCCAAGCAACACTGGTGACAAGATGAAAAGGAGCTTTGTGTTAAAGAAGGGCTGCTACATTAAATTAATCTTTTCACTTCTGGAAAAACGTTATTTCGTGTTACGTTTCTGAGGGCTAATGATCTTAGGGAAATTGACATTTTCAAGGGGAAAATTAATTAGTTTGGAGGTCATTTAAGACATACTGCCTGAAAATATAAGACAGAAATTATAATAATTTTCTAAGGGCAACATGCATTCTTCTGTGGAATGAAACCAAGACGAAACCACAGAAATTAAGCTATTATTTATTTTGCAGTACAATCCAAATTCCCTTTTGGTCAGGTTCAAGAATTATTTTATCAAGAAATGATAAAGATCTCAGGTTGCCTATCAGGGTTTCATATCTGAGTAATTTTCCCTGTACAAATTTGTTTTCAGTGATGCTACATGAATCCTCACACATATTAAATAAGGAAATTCCCTTTTCTTTGTAATTCCAGACAACAGTAGCAGGGACAACTGCAAACAAATTAAAACCACAGCAGTGATGGAGATCAAGTAAAAAAATGAAATGTGAATGAATCCAGAGCTGCCACCTCAACATCTCCACTTTCCTGGCAGATTGCATTGTGAAATTCTGAAATACCCATGGCAAAGGCTGAATTGCAGCAGAGGAAGTTTCCAAAGCCTTAAAATGAACAATGAGAGCTTTATGGGTTTATTATTAAACTGGAACATAGTGGTTATAGAATCACTGAATCAACCCCCAAAGAAACATGGAGTGCTCCATCAGAGAGTTTCATTTCAGAGGACACCACGTTTTATATCTGTCATTTACGTGGGTCATTTCAAATGATAAACTTTGACTTCTGAAATCACTTCCCTCCTTCAAAAAGAGAGATTGTTTTAATTTTGAGCAATTGCCTCGCTCCCCAAACCACAGCTTAAAATCCCAAGGAGGTCACTGAAAAGAGTGATATTTCTTTTCTTTTTTTTTTTTTTTGCCTATCATGTTTAGGTGAAAAATATCTGAGCAATTTAGCCAGCAAATAATGACACAGAACTCTAATGGCATCTCAGTGACAGATGCAGTGCCCTAATTTAGAGTGGCTTGAGAAGCAGGAAGGAGCACACATAAATCACAGAACTGAACTCTTGCAGCTTTCATTAATTATACTACTCTAGTCTAAGAGTATTTCACAAGAACCAGGTGTTGCCACCACTGAAACAGAGTTTATGAAAGTAGAGAAAGAGAACAAAATCAATGTCAACATCTCTAAACCATGACAAGGTTATTTCAAGGAGTCAAAACACATTATTCTGATTTCCCACTGAAGGCCAGAAAAGGCAACTAATGAGGGGAAAATGGGTATTTTTATCTTGGGGAAAAAAAAAAAAAAAGGTTTTTCTTTTCTTAATGAGGAATAAATTTTAAATGGTGATTAATAGCTGCTACCAGGTGAGTACCTGTGTCCTACAGTGAGACTGGAGGCAAGAGAGTTGAGAAGGAGTTTTATTACTTGGGAAAACAAATGGCAGTTCCTGACTGGATCTGGAACTGGGACATGAAGGTTTAAAGCACTTTTTACCTCTTTTACCAGTACCTGAAAAGAATTCTTCAACTTAGAAGTCCAACAGCATATGGGCCATTTTTCTATTTTACATCAACATTGCTGCAGACTGTTATCTTTGCTAAAAATGATGCAGCCAGGACTCTTTAGCTTATCACATTCCCTTTCCTTCCCCAGGGTAAGTGCACAGCAATGGTTTCTGATTAATAGTAAGGAGCTGCTCCTCAGTACTGTGCAGTTCTCAGACTTGCTGAGCACAGTATGTTTTATTTCATTTCAGCTGAAAGTGAAAGATGAGCTATCATAGAGTGCTTGGGATTTTCCTCTAAATCATTGAACATCAGTGTTTCAGCACAGGGTGTAAGTGGCACACAAATGTTTACTTCTGGTCTCTGATAAAATAATGATAAATAATGGAGCAAATGCAGTCAACTTGATGTTTATCTGGATTTTCCATGTCAAACAGCTGACCCTAATGTTGCTGGCAGTCCCCCATCTTCATGCATGGGCAGAATTCCTTTTTAGAATATTACTGAGAACAGATTATCTGCATCTTCAATTTTCTGTTCAGGCCAGAATGAAATTCACTTATTCCATCATGGCTTAAGGAGTTGATGGGTGGGAACAGAAACAGGACAGCACAGCAAAATGAAACAGATGAGCTCTGCTTCCCTGAAGAGAGCCACATGAAAAAGTCCATTGACTGCTCTCATGCCAAGGAAAACAAACTTACTTCCCCTAATTACAAAGGAAACTCAAGCCTGGATTACTTCTGATAGATTTTTCTGTTAGAAGCAGAGCAACACAGAGTTCCCAGGCAGGTGCAAAGGAGAGCTCTTTATTGCAAAAAACAGCCCTTTCTAAGCAGTCAGGCCATTATCAGCTGCATTCTAAAAAGCACAACAAATGTACTTCAATCAACCACCATGAACCACAACGTGAGCATGTCACAGTGATAAAACTTGGTTCCCTACCTCCAATTCAGCTGAGCCACTTTCACAGTCCTTTTCTACTTAGCAAAAGTAGTAGGTGTGAGCCATGGTTTTACAAAGATATCAATGCCTTTATTTCCTAAAGGTTTTACCTTT